AAATTCACGTTTCTCAGTGCAAGGTCGAAGCAGACAGTGTGAAGCCATCCCCAGATGAACTGGAGTTGGAACTGGAGCGACTCATGGAGGTTGCTTGACGGAGTCGATGTGCTGCAAAAGAAGCTTGTAGTGCAAAGTTACATTTTTCAGTGCAAGGCCGAAGCAGGCAGCGTGAAGCCATCCCAAGATGAACTGGAGTTGGAGCTTGAGCGACTCATGGAGGTTGCTTGACTGAGTCGATGTGCTGCAAAACAAGCTCGCAGTGCAAATTCACGTTTCTCAGTGCAAGGTTGAAACAGACAGTGTGAAGCCATCCCGAGATGAACTGGAGTTGGAGCTTGAGCGAGTCATGGACGTTGCTTGACGGAGTCTATGACAGTATGACATGGAGACAGGGAAGATTGATGATGGACATTGATGGACGATTGCTGTGTGCAAGGAAGCGTCTGCTGCTTCGCGCGCAGGAGCGTGATAGGCAGGGGCAGATGTTGGGGCTCAATACATCGCGCAGGGTTGCCCAAGAGACTGAGAAGCGAAGCTATTTGTGCAAACACGTGGAAGAGCTGCCACAGGGCTTAACATCAGTTGCGAATACTTTGGCAAGAGATGCATGAGAGACGATAAAGTTAAGCACTTCCTAAAGCTTCAGGCGCTGCATGCCGTCTAAGACGAGTGAGCGCTTGAAACGCGGGGCCAAGCCAGTTGATTTGCTCATATCGTAAGATGTCAACATGTTTGCCGGCCATTGGCTCTGTGTTGGGTGGGAAAAGAGGCAAGGGGTTGTCCTCTGAGTCAGTCTTTGCAAGCCGTGTGGGGTCAAGGCTGTGTTCAGAACTTTGGCTGACTCAGATTTGCGACGAAAATGTGCTGCAGCTCCAGTGTGACCATGACAATGCTCCATGAGAGCTCTGATAACCTCCGGAATTGGTTGCTGTGGTGCTTTGATGCTCAAAGGGCAGGCTGTGGCCTGCGTATTTCCTGTGCCGAGAAGCTGCGGGTTGCCAGCAGGTGCTTCGTTCAGCCTATTCTGCACATAAGCTGACTGTCAGTGACCCTCAGGCACCTGGTTGCGGCTTTGCAGCCATGAGTGCCTTGCAGAAGATCGCCGAGATAGAGGCAAGCTTGCAGCGCTTCGCAAAACTGCAGCCAGTGCAGTCCCTGTGTTGGTGAGAATTGGCCCGCATGTCAGGCTGAAATGGCCAGAACGCAGAAGAACAAAGCAACTAATGCACACTTGGGGCTGCTCAAGGCGCGAATGTCGGCTTGATCTGCCCTGCTTCCTGCCTTGCTTTTTTGCTGATGCTTGCTGCCAGAGTTTTGATGGCCAAGACTCCGTGACTGCCATGATGTGTCCCGTTCATTTTTTTCCAAGTGCATCTGATGTTCGGTTTGGCACCTAGACGCTTTTGAGAGGTCCTTGTCAAAGAGGACCTGTCCTGTCGGGGTCATATCAGGGGATAGCTATTTCCCTTCTGGGACCAAAAGCCAGACTCGTCCGTGGATTGTCCAGATCACGCTGCGTTTTGCTTTTGGCAGCCTGCTAGCAAGCCGTTGTGGCATTGTTCTGATCTGCTCCCTGGCTGCTAAGTTCCCTGGCCCAGAAGAGCTTGACCTTTTGAATATGCTAGTAGTTCAGAATAGTACAGATGTGCACCCCAGACGTCCAAAGGTTATTGCATCACTCTCATGTACAGTCTGGTCTTTCTAAATGTTACTAGCCCTCTGGTAGCCATGATCCCAATGACCGCAGTGGAGTGCGAGGAACAAAGCTGGCGGACATCGTACAATTCAGGACGTACAATTAAGGGATTTGATGATGGTTACGATGTTTATAACTACCATGACTGCATGATAGCAGGCAGGATGCAGAGCATTTTAGAAATTATGAGGATAGCATGTACAACGCCTAGTAACAGAACTTGAAAAGCAGTTGTGGCGCTCCTGATAGTTGCACACAATGCACGAAGCGTAAGCACGAATGTTCACACACGTGAGTTCTAACGGCAACATTGGGACCTGAATAAAGTCTGAATAACTACAACCGATCTTGAGTTCCACTGGTAATGAATTTCAATGTTCTTATACAGGAGTTGGCCTGAAGCACAGTCAACTGTTAGGGTACTAAAAAAAGGGCCAGAAATTGCGCCACCATAAAAGGCAGTTCGGGAGTATCACTACTTCTCAACAACATTTGCTTGTAAAGTGCTCTGAGTAAGAGCTTTTCTGGGGTCTGGATGGCGCGATGGCTGCCCCAAATTGAGATGCGCAGATCCGGGAGCATGATTTGAATCCCAAATCCAGAGGTTAAAAACAATTCTCAGCAAATCGTCTGTGGACGTGTTTGCGAACGCGAAGCGTTTCACAGACCGAAGCCAAGGAAGGCCAGGACCGAGCGCACGGGCGCATACACGACTCACCTGTCCTTGTTCGTCCCTGGGACCGAAGTCGCAGTGCCGCGCGCCCTCGAAGAGCATGGCAGCCCCTTCGCGCTCAGAGGAGCTGCCGACGCCGTGATGGCAGCCGGTTTCTTCTGGATGTTTGAATCAGTGTTAGGGCCTAAGGCTAGGCGGGCTGGGGCACGCACGTGTTAATTGCAATTCATCCTAGCTCCCTGAGGCTGTACCGGAAGGGTGTCAGAGACAGGGGCACCTCCGCCGTCAAAGTGCCGCGCGTAGATGCGAAGGACGCATGCGTCAAGTGCGTCCTCGGCCAGGGGTCCTTTGCCCGTGTCGTGGCGGTAAGCCTGAAGACAGCCACCGGCAACATCGATCACAGCCACAGACCTCAGCACAGGAGAGGCAGCGTGAAGTCAGGCATGAAGCCATGGCATTGCAGCACTGCAAATGCAGACCTCGTATTCCTTGTGGATTGGGCGTCATTCTCAAGCCCATAACACTGCTGCTGACAGAGCTATGTTGTGCGTTTTTATTCACAGCGTTGCGTCCACGTGGGTGTGAAGCCTGTGAATGGCTTGCGCGGTCGCTCGGGGAGACCTGTCAGCCAGTCAGCTGCCACAACATCTCCGCATTCGCAGGCCAGGTTGCAACATGCCCATCTGACAGGATCGAACATTCTTAACACCCTTCGGACCAATCCCAACAGCCTCTTTTATTTGAGTTCTGTCACCACATCACTTTGTCGGAGCCTTGCTAACCTCCTGAACACTTCCACGGTGGGTTTTACTCGGACCATCCTCCATGAACTTCTTGCCAGACTCCGTATCAGCACTGGCATCACATACGCCCTAGCCACCAGCCACTCCTATGTTCATGCCTGGAATGACCCCCTCCGCCAACATGATGTTGCTGAATTTTTCCCCTTGTATTACCCCTAGCGTGATACCGAGTCTTCCGCAAGGTTGTTGGGAGACGCGTATATGCAATAATGAAGGCATCTTTGTCATGGACCTTGCAAGCGCCACGCGCCCTCTCTTTCTTGAGCCTGTGCACTTTGCGCAGGATTTCGATCCCTTGCTACACGCCTGGGCTGCTCAGGTTGATATTCGCGCGTTATTCAGAAGTGCGCTGAGCCTCCTTGCCGTTACGGTGCCTAGGTTTGATGTTGGCCCACAGGGATATCGCGTGTGCGAGGTGCTGTATTTGGCCCTTCAACCCCATGTTGCTGTCCCTGCGTTTTGTGGACCGGGACTGGCCATCATGGTCATCCACCCAATCGGGTCACTACACAACGATTTTGAGAGGGGATGATGATCGGCGGTTGCACGAACATGAGAATTGCCGCTATCAAACCTTTGACTACATGCAAGCACTGAATTCCACTAATCAAGCGCCCGTGTTACCAGAGAATCTACCACCGCATCTAGAATCTCTAGGGTGCGGGGATGCCATACTAGGGAATCCAGAAAACTCCTTTGCATTGCTTGCGGTTGTGCATCTTTCAGGGTGCCGTTCCACAGCCCGTCACCGTCTGCAAGCGTGTTGTACATAGGCTGATGTTGTACCTAGGTGACTCTTTGCTTTCTTGTGGGTAGTTCCTTTTGGCTAGCCCTTCTGAGGTAAGCAGTAGGTACCAGGCTGTATATACGATGGCCCGGGCCCACGGGCTGTCGTTGTTCTCATGAGAAGCAGTCTGGCACATGTCCCGATGCAAACAAGTACGCTCACCGAAGTTTGCTGCGTTCTCGAAGCCAAAAACAGTAAGGGGCAAACGGATCGCCTTCAAAAAACACCAATTTGAGTATTTAGAGTTTTACGTTTGGGCTTCATGACAGTATGGAAGTGTCCTTGTCGTCGCTTTCCCCGATGCAATTGCCCTTTGCGAATTCACCGATCCTCATGGAAGATCATTCCCCAAACAAACACTCACAATTTCGAGACCCCTCCATATAATGCTTCCAAGTTCTTGTCCTTACGGGTTATTTGAGCGCTTCCGAAAATTGCTTTGGGACCAGTATGAAAAAGGTTGCATTGGATTTGCAATAGGGTGCTCCTGTTCATGGAACCCGCCCAAGTAGGTCCCGAAACCCCTGGACCCGTAAAACCCTAACAATTCAATGAGTTGCCCGCCTGCCCTCCCTTCTGGTTGGACTGTGTTTGTCCTTCCTCCTGATTCTCCAGCCCATTCTTCTCAGACGTCTTGCTGCCTTTCGCAGTCATGCCATGAAGAGGCCAAGCTTGCCAAGCTTCGAGCAACAATTGTCTCCGAGGGCACAAAGGGCAGCGGCGGAGGCGGAGGACAGCAAGGTTTCGAGGCCTGGATGTTCAGTTCAAGTCTAACTTGATTTTTGGAAACTGGTGGTTTTGATTTTTTTTTGTCATGGAGGTCTCCAAGACAGGAGATGCCCGAGTAGGCCTGATTGGCTTCCCCTCTGTGCCTTGGCTGCATCTGACTGATTGGGGGGAGGTTTGGAGATGCACAAAATGCAGGTTGGCAAGTCGACCTTGCTGAACAAGATGACAGGGAGTGCTAGTGAGGCAAGCTTGCATGATGCTGGCTTTTATAGGGAGCGTGGAAGGCGGTTGTTTTGGCGTGAGTGGAGATGTGATTCCCTGGCAGGTCCAGGCATAGTCAACCCAACAATCCCCCCTGCTTTCTCGTCATACCCTTTGTTTGCAAAGCAGGTTGCTTCCTACGAGTTCACCACCCTGACATGCGTTCCTGGCGTTTTCAACTACAAGGCAAGCAGCTGCTGGCTAGAGTGTCTTCACCAAGTTTTTGTCATGCAAAGTGTTTCTTCAGATACTCGTACTTCTTCGTCAGAGGGACCCGAACCGCCCCGATGCAGTCCCTAGGACTCTAGGTGTTACTCGCACCCCTCCTGGACAGACCCTCAGCATTTCATCTTGCACCCGCACCGTCACATGAACATAACATACGAAGCCATGAACCTACACCCCACACCTACACATGCGCATACGCGTTGGCATGTACATAGAGCAGGGTACCTCTTCAAGATTAATTTTTGCATCCAGGAGCAGAATTGCTCTTGGAACAAATGCACCGTAACTACATAGGGGCCGCGATTGAACGAGACCTTTGTATTGGTATGATTTAACCCCCTAATGTATGCTTCAGCATAACGCACGAACGAGAGCCAGACGGGATGATTGCATGCGTATGTGTGTATACATATATGTTTACACAAATAAATGTATAGTACACCCCCTCTCCCAGTTATCTACCTTTTTTGGGGGGAGGTTACATTTTAGGGATGAAGCAGTATATCTGGGGGAGACAAAGGCAAAAAACACGTATAGGGGGGGGGGGGTGCCTTGTTATAAAATGTAGGCAAGGGGGGGTGCCTTGTCATAAAATGCAGGTAAGTGTAGGGCTGAGGGTGCGTTGTTGTTGAATATGCGACTCAACCCCAATGCGTGACTCAAGTCTGAGACCCCAGTATCAACCAGACCTCGAGGAGATTGTCTCTAGATTGAAGTTCAATCTCCTCTGGGGGGGTTGAGGCTAAGATTGAAGAAGTTTTCCTGAGAATCTTCAATCTTCAAGCTTCAATCCAGGAGATTAAACTTCGGCCCTCCCCAAGATTACCTCAGCACGTGTATGTGTAGCATGTATTGGAGATCATGTGAATGATATTCCTGACAATGGGTTTTTTAAGAGAAAAAAGAAGCGACCGACTTGAGACTTCATACTTAAATTTACAGCATCTTTAGTAAGGGGTTTATATCTAGAAGAATAAGAAGAACAGGAGCCCAGGAGTGCAATAAATATTTAAAGCTCAAAGCGACCAACAATTCCCTAATTAGTCTAACGGTAGAACCAAATTTCTCTCCCTACGAACGGGATAACGGTTATTTCTCCACAAAAAAACTACAAGAGAGATACGATTGACTTGAGAGAAGTGGAAGCTGCAGTTCCCTTCCTGTGTTTCTTTTGATTGCATAGAAAGTCAATAGGAACAGCTGGAATTTGGGCTCCCTCCTCATATGGAGGAAGCTGTTTCTGCATTTCAGGAAAGTTTTCTTCATGATACATTGATACATGTTGCATAATTAATGTGCTATGTATATGGGTAGAAGCCAGCCTATCTTTCAAGTAGACCCTGGAGGTCAGCCAAGGGACCTGGCGTTAATGATTTAATTTGTTTGATTTCTTCAGGAACTCCAGAAAAGGCTGGAGAAATTAGACAACATACACAAATTGGATATTCAATTTGTTCAACCTTGAAGTACATACTCTATGTAATTTATTTATTTATTTTTCTATTTAAATAGACCCTGGAGGCCAGCCCAGGGGCCTGGAATTCAATGATCCAACGTATTTGGTTTATGTAATTTTCCAGATAAAAGCTAGAGACAGTGAACAACTCAAATTTACTTGATCTACTGAATATATACAATCTACTCAATTTACTTACATAAACCCTGGCAGCCAGCCAAGGGGCCTAGAGCTCGATGAGCTCAATGTAAAAAAACTAATTTTGCTTACTGGTTACTGCTATTGTTGACAGGGCCAGCAAATATATACATATATATATATGTATATGTAGATTTATATGCTTATACTTACATGTATAGGTATGTTTTTGACCCATACTGTGTCTGTATGTACGTACGTACGTACGTACGTACGTACGTACGTAGGTACGTA